ATAAGGAATAACCAAAATGATCGACAAAACAAAGGAAAAAATCGAATGAGAAATAAAATGAAAAATAATTTCAAACAAAGCAAAAAAGCAAGATATAAGACTTATACATACGTAAATATGTACATTTATGCACTCATCAGTAAGGCTGCAACTACCCAACGCGCGTACCAGCCGTCCATAGTAACCTATCTTATGAGAGCGCCATGTAAACACAAAGTTGTCACCGATTTCCCATATCGTTGCTGACGTTTGTGTCGCAGAAACCAACGAAGTTTTGATTTTTCCGTAAAACCGGCTCGGCTCATTTTTCGTTGCTATACAAGGTTGCCAGCATAGCTTTTCTTAAAGTAACATTGAATGATCGAAGAAAATGGGTAGTTTAGTTCAAAAGAAATGAAAAATAAATGAGTAAATAATTATTTGTTATCATATAGATCATGTATATTTGTCTTGCGTTTATATTCAAGCATATAAATTATGAAATTCGTTGACGAAAATTATGAATTTGTTCAAAAGTGTGCAAACACACAGGCAGCTGGCAACATTTCGCCGTCATTCAGCGGCGTCGATAGCTCGTGTATGTATTTCACTACTAACGTCGTCAGTTATGGACGGCTGGAGAGTGAGTTGGGTAGTTGCAGCCTAAGTACTGATTTGCTTACTAGAGGTTCCAGGGCGTGATCAAGAATGTCGGAACTTATGTGAAATAAAATTAAAAATATAAAATAAAATGCAATAAAAATTTAAGTAAATTAAATTAAATTAAATAGATTTAACTAAATAAAATAAAATAAAATAAAATAAAAAAATATAAATAATATAAAATGAGATAAAATAAAAACAAATTAAAATTAAATTAAATCAAATAAAACAAATTAATATAAATAACATAAAATGAGATAAAATAAAAACAAATTAAAACAAAATGAATAAAAGAAAATTAAATAAATTAATATAAATAAAATAAAATAATATAAAATAAAACAAATTAAAATATAAACCAAAGTAAAAAGTAATAAAATAATATAAAATTAAATAAAATTATAAAATGAAATGAATAAAATAAAACATTTAATAAAATAAACTGGGATAAAATATAAAATGAAAAAATTAAAGAAAATAAAATCAAATGAAATGAAACGAAACGAAATGTAATGAGTTGAATTAGTTTAATTAGTTTTATACTAATGTAGAAGTTCTTCGACGAGAGTATTTGAACCTCGACCTAATAATAGCTATAGAATCAGAAATTCTAAACATTCTTACATACATACATACTTACGCTAATTATGTATGTACATTTGTATAACTTAAAACGGACAACACTAGCAACGATTGAATGTTACAGAACGGTTAGCCGCACCCACCCACTCATGCACGAATGTATACACATATGTGTGTATGTGTGTATGTACATATGTATGTAGTCAACCGCACCTCTGCAATTTTTATTTTATATGAAAAATAACGTTCCATCGTAAACAACATATGAACATATCTGCATATATTTTTATGTGCATACATATGTACATATGCACACACAGTAGCCAAGACTAAATGTATGTATGTATGTTAAAGCAAAACCTGAAAAACTAAAAAAATTGTTTGTATGTATATGCTTGTGCCTGAAAAAGTCCCAAAAGCTAAAATTTAAAATACACTAACTACGTGTACATACACACAAACAAATTTAACTTTATCATCGTCGGTTGTCGTCATCCACAGAGCTATCGCCGTTGTCGTCGTTGTCGTTTTCGAGAATACACCAAATAAACAAGAAATTGTAGCGAGCAAGCAGGAAAAGATACTGAAAAAAAAACAACCAAGAAAAAAATATAAAAATAAATAGTTTCGAAAAAAATACAAACAACAAGAAGAAGCAATCAGCAATAGCAGCAAAGCAAAACCAAACAAAAATGGAGCGTGGGCACCACACCAACATCAACATCATCAACATCACCAACAACAGCGGCAACAGTATAAAGCGAGTGGCGGCGTTGGCGCTGCAAATTGAACCTGAAAATAACCCAACAAAATAAACTCTCTGTTGGCGAGAGAAATTTTTCTATGTCAGCAGTATGGATATTTGCTTACATTTGCACATACATATGTACATATGTTTATACCTGTATACTCATTTCTATTATAGATATATACACTGTTGCTGTGCGATCACATCTAACCAGATTTAGATCGCTGTTATTCTACAATTAGGCCGTGCTTATGTAGAAATTTTTGTTTGACAAACTGCAGGCAAGTGTTTGTTGTTGCTGTTGTTGCGGCAAACTCGTTGGGAGAAGGGTTAGCTGGCATTTTGTTGGACCGAAAAGTTGTAATTTAAGTGTTGCCATACAAAAGAGTTGGGCGAAATATAGAATTGACCCAGCAGAAATAACAGTTTAGGTACCGTATTTGTGGCGAAACCGATAAATTTGCACTATTTTTATTTTCATTTTTATATTTAAAGATATAAAGCAGTGTTTTCGAAATTTCTAAAACTTTTTTCTTGTTTATACATACATATATACTTGTAAACACTTCATTACTCAATAATAAAGATTTTTGGAAAAGCATTGCAAATTGCGTGAAGATTTGTTCATGTTTTTCTTCTTGTTGTTACCGCAAACTACACTCCAAAGCTGTTTTTGGAGAAGCTTGCGAGAGTAGCAGTTCTTGGCCGGATAAAAAAGAGGGTCGTTCCGGTTTAAGAACCTCGACTGTCGTTTGAACTGTTCCATTTTGGTCACCTCCACCATTATATAAAAACGAAGCTTAAAAAGATCTAAAATTTTATGTAAAAATATAAATAATTTTGTAAGCTTTTGATATTTCTTAAGTATTTTGCAAAAGCTCATGTTAGCAATATTAAAGCTTATGAGCTTTTTAAGCTTGCAAAGCAGGAGAGTTGAATATTTTATTGCTAAATAATACAAAGGAAATGCCACATTTTCATCTCGTCCCCTAAACGAAATTACAGCTGAACGTTTAGGAACACTCCAGCTTTTTAAAACATATTGTAAAGTAAGCATGTATGTATGTATGTATGTGTGAGTGTACATTCATATCTACTTAAAGTAAAAGACCTCATATTAGAAAAGTCGACATATGGAACGGTCGTACAAGCACTTCAGCTGCAAAATACAAACATACACGCATACTACACAAGCATTGTCAAGGGGATTGGGGGAATATGAAGCAGCCACACAACAGACTTTCTTCTGTAATCTATAACAGCAGCGTAAGAACGATGAGGGCGACAAGAATGCCAAAAAAAGTGAGTTTTACCCTCTTCAATGCTTCCAGAATGCATAAGTGCGGTATGCGTGTATACATACTTATGCATATGTATGTATGTATTTATGTATCTTGCCATTGGATGGTATGGAATTGTTGGGTTTTCCGTTGATTCTATAAACATACTGTATGTAAGTGCACATTTGTTTGCGTCTGTCAGTCTTCCTTATTTTCGGGTTTCATTCATTTCATGGAAGCGCACAGCCAAGCGTCTGTCCAAACGTTGAACATGCAACATCAACTACCGCACCACTACCAAAAAGGGCAAGAACAAATGCACATACCAAATGTAAAAACACATTTATAAATATCAGATGCCAGCCGCCAGTGCGTCGCATTTTGTATAGATGCAACCAGACGCTTCGCATTAATATGTCCATATGTATGTACGTATGTATGTATGTATGTAAAAAAAACGGACGAGCCCAAAACAACGAATGGTGGTGGAGAGTATGGCGACGGTGTTGGCAGCAGCGGCGACTGTTAAAATTATTTTTCTAAAAATATACGAACAGGGCATGCCGACAAGCCAGGCAACTAACAGGCACACAAGCCCGACAGCATTGATATTAGCAGTGACGGGCGAAAAAAAGTTGAGAATAATGTAGGCAACGAACGCTGAAAGACACAAGACATCTCAGGCAGGCTAGCTGGCATTCGAGGCAAGGTATATACATAACAGATGCATGTACATATGTATGTACATACATGTGTGTATGTATGTATGTATGTACCGTACGGCAGAAGGGACGCACATTTCACCGGCAGTTGTTTCTTTTCGAAACTATTTTCGTATTTTTGTTGTTCTCATTGCTTTGTTTCGAAGCGGACTATGTACACATACATATGTGTGCATGTGGCAAGCCAAGTATGGTATTTCACCAGTGCATAGTATTACTAATACATTGCTTTGGAGGGATGAAATGGCAAAATCCACCACCATAATCCAAACCTATACATACATACATATATATACTTTCATTGTCACTCTGTGGAAGGAAATGCCTTTCAGCTGTACCACAACCATAACACGATCTCGAAGTCACCTTTGCAGGAAAAATGCACGTGTGCGTCAGCGACTTGTGCATATTTGGCAGGACAAGCGTGCTCTGAGTCAGAGTTTGTTGTTGGCCTTTTTAAGGGAAACTGATGTTTGAGAGCATTTAAAGCGGAGATGATGCGTCGTTGTGTGCGCTTCATTTCGCTGGTTGAGATTGCAAGTAACTAACAGATAGTTGCCTTTTTCCTTTAAACACAAGTTGGAAACTATTATTTCTTTCCAGATCTCTTCCTCAAACTGATAGGGTAGGAGAAAAAGTACTCCAGCGAAAAGGTCGCCAATGCAACTATTTCATGTCTACTAATAAAATATTTTCTTTGAATGGCTGACGGTATCACGATGATGGACGAACTTCATCTATGTTTTTGGGCTTTATGTATGATTTAACTAGACCAGTCAGTTCGGGCGTTGTGATTATTTCCGGGGACCAACTAAAACTAAATCTCTTTTGTTTCGTAGATTTTGTGTATAAAAACTTTCCTTGCCATCGTTATTACTGGAAAAAAAAATAGGTTAAACAAATCAATTACATTTTCTACTAAGATTTTATAATATTTTAAGTTAAAATAAGCTTATTTTGCAAAAAAAAAAATATCACTTATTCTAAACTTTCAACTAATCTTGGATCTTCTTCTTTTGATTTTAGGTTAATTCAGCAATGGGTCTTCAAGCTACAGCCGCTACCAAGCGGAAACACGAGATCACATTCGATGCCAAGGATGCTAATACATATACAAATAGTCCGCCTCCGATCAAGGCTGGCAAATGGTCAATTAATAACAACAACTACATCGAAGCCATTGAGGAACAACAATTGAGTGGCAGTATTATAAAAGACGCAAATACAAATTTAAGAACACTAACGAACGTTTCAATGGAAACCACACAAGCGAATAGTAGCAGTATAAAAACTAATAGTAACAATAGTAATAATAGTAGTAGCAGTAAAGGTGTCCACAGTAGTATTAACAATGACAAAGATGTAGCGAAAGTCGGTGATCACGCAAATGTCATGTCCTCACATGCTATGGACTCTTCTGCATTGAGCTTGCCATCAATGGTGACATCATTGTTGCCAATGTCCAGTGAAATAGCTGCTACCACGCCATTACCTCCAACCTCCACGACACCGGTACCAGAAGACAGCATTGCCAAGTTGGAGGAAGTCGCTGCGGTACCTTGTTGTGAGCCGTGGACTAATGCAGCGACGGAACCGGTCGATTGCATTTCCAAACTCCAGGCAGTGGCAGTGCCGAGTGATCCTTGGGGCAGTATATCGACACGTTCGACATTGGCGACAACACTGCTCAGCGCCGATGATTTGGATGATGATGACGACGACTTTGAGGATGATTATGAAGAGGAGGAGAGTATAATACCTACCTATTGTCCACTACGATATCATACTTTTCCACCGCCGCCTTCCGCATCGTCCACACCACATCAACAACAGCGTATTGGCAGTTATGCGCCTGCACCGCACGGTTATGGCTCGCGTCCAAATTACTATTCGGAGCCATTTCCACAACAGAATTGTTCGCGTACCGGCAGTCCTCAGCATATGCGTTTACCAGGTAGCAATGGCTTCACCCAGTGGCAAAGTACGACGGGACCAACAAGTAGTGGTCAACAATTTTATGTGCCACCCGAAGCTGCATACCCGCCACCGCAACAGCAACCACCACAGCCGCCTCAACAGCAACAGACCATACGTTGTGCTGAGAATGGTAAATCCTATCTGGAGTTGGGTTGTAGTAGTCCACCACCCAGCGTGAGCAATACCGGCGTTGTGCCGCCACCGCCTTTCGCTAACCTACATGTAACAGCTGCAAATCTCGACGCGCGACATCCATTGAAGCGTTGCTGTGATGGCCGTGGTTCATGGTGCAATATAAACAAAAACTGTTATAAAGATCTACGCCTCAAGATACGCAATCTTTCCATGTTCAAACTGTCACGTTTCCGACAGGTATCCGAGCAGTCACTCTATCGCTCCGTGCTCATTTGCAATACATTAAAGCGTATCGATCGCGAAATCGAAACAGAAGCCAAGGAGATGCATCAAGCTGCTGCGGCACAGGCTGCTGCTGCTCACCATCAATATCATCAGCATTTGCAACCTCCACATCATTTACAACATCATTTGGCTCAGCAACAGTCCACTCAACAGCTTTTGGTGCCACAACAGCCACATACTATGCTGCACCAACAGCACCAGGACTATGCGCCGCCCGTTATGAACTGCGCGCGTCTATCAAATATGGACTATCAGGTGCAACAGCAACCGCCAACACTAATACAACAACAACCAGCGCAAAACTTCGTCCAACATGTGCCGCATTATCAAAATCAACCCGAACGCCTCGGCACACCACCGCCATATTTGAGTGCACCAACACAACAGCTGCAGAAACCGGTCGCCAGTAGTTTTCCGCTCAGCAATAACCTTAGTATTAATGTGAACAACTGTGATTCAACGAATGCGACGACAACGATACATCCTTACGATCACTATCCTTTCCGGGAATCACAATCTGGTCGTGCAACTCCATTTCCCTGCCAGCCGGTCATGTCGCCGGTGCCATCATCTACGGCACCCAGCACGCCCGCAGCGACGCAACCTCAACACCTAACAGTCATTACCACATTAAGTGCGTCCAATACAGTCGCTGCACCCACGCAAAATATAACAACCAACGCGGCAACAGGAAGCGCACCCAGTAGCGTTGAAACCACATCACTCCTTACAGCTTCGACGTCCATAAGCAGCGCTGACAACAGTGATTCTGGTTACGCGGACGATGATTCAACGCGGTCCATCAATTGGAGTTCAGTACTCAGTTTATCATCGCAATCCGCGCTAGATCCACTAAACAACAATGACCTCTTCGCCATGCTGCCGCCTGCATTGTCAATAACCAACCCCGCCACCGCTACACCAGTGCCAGTTACAGCCGCTATGTCAACGAACATCAGCCCTACGGATAACGCAACACAAACGACGGCAGTTGCCATTAGCGGCACATTTACCACCGTGCAATCAACACCTGCCTCCAGCACCAACGCCAGCAATTCAATCACCAGCAATAGTAGTAGTAACAGTACAGCATATAACACAAGTACCTCTTCGTCGACGGCAACGTTCACAACGCTCTCTACAATCTCCTCAGCGACGCATTCGCTCACGTCATCTTATGTGAGTAGTATGAGCGCTAATGCAGCAGCTGCATCGGGCTCCTCCACCTGGGAGTATGGTTTTCTCGATATGGAATTTGGTTTGGGTTCTGAATTCACTGAACTAGTGCCGAGCTGCAAATTAAGCTCCGATGAACTCTTCAAAAGCAGTCTAACGCCAGTCGTGGCAGCATCACGTTACTCATCCGTACATGAGAACGAGCTGGAACAACCGGCTCACATTATGGTCGGCAGTTAGTATCAATTGTAAGGTAGCGATTCAATACAGCAGACGTGGTGCCGTGCATTGTACTACTGCGACGGCGGAACGTACTGCAGCGCCAATAGGTGGCCTTCCTGGTGTTTATGACCGCTAATGACGCCAAGCGCGTGGTGTCCATGGAGAGCATGGTTACCATGTAGCAGGCAGCACGAGCTGAGCTAGGCAGCGTCGTGAGCAAGCATTGGAAATATACAACAGTCGAATAAATGTTTTAAAAATTCCATGTTGGAATGAATGAACGACGGTTCACCAGCCAGTACATACTTATGTATTTGTTGCAAATGTATTGTAAAACAAGAAGTTTATATTTATTATAAAATTAAGTCTATACTAAATTTGTTTACTTAATTGTAAAATGCTCAGGTTGTGAACTTTTTGTTTCGAAACTGTGTTGAAAATTGTATGTATGTATTTACTATACTTAGCAAGTAGAGGATAAACAAAAGTTGAGATGCATAATTTTATAAGAATTTTTGTTTTTTTATCAGTATAAATGTACTTAATTGTGAATTAAAAGTGCTTAAATTGAAGTTAAGGTGTAGGTTACAGAATTTTGTTCAAAAATATACTTACATACATGTGTATAAATGTAATTTCAAAACCTTTGCAAATTCTAAAATAGAAAAGAAATATTCGTTGTTTATTTTGTAAGAATTTCGGCATTGCAGCTGTATGTATGTATGTATCTTAAAATCTTTTTCAAATCATTATATTTTAAACAGTATTAAAATTGTATTGAAAATTCTTTTCTGATTATGCGTCCTAACCAAAAAAAAACCTTTTACTTGCAAAAGCTTAAAATTGGTCATTTATATATGAATTATTGCAACATTTCATAACTGAAAATCTGTATTGACTAATTACTGCAACAAAAGTTTAAAAGCTGTTGCATTAAAAACTCAATATTTGCTTAAAACAAAATTGGTTAAATATTTTTATCTAACAAATTGAAATATTCCAAATGTTAAAAATAAAAGTTTTTCTATTCTATCTGTCTCGCTGGGGCGATTACTAGGGCAATCAAAATAGCGCTCGTTAAAAGTCGCTTAAGAGCTTGCCACTAAAAAAATCAAATAAAGCAATGCAAACTCACAGACATAAGTTCCTTGAAACCTAAATCCCTTATATGTAGAAGATGGACTAAATACTGGTTGAGCTTTTTTGACCCCTAATGACGACACATACAATGCTATAACTTTTAACACAAAATTGGCTTAAGTACTACGCTATTAATAATTGTTAATTGTTATTAATATATATTATTATTATTTCTTTATAATTATTAATATATGACAGATCAGATGTATGAAAGTACATACATATGTAGGGTGCAATTGTTTAAATGTACCATTTCGAAGGTTTTATTCTACTACAAATAAATACAAAAATAAAACTAGCTAAATTCTAAAATTGTATATAATAGCTGTATAGTGAATGAGAGCATATGTATGTATATTATTACATATATATGCATGCAGGTTATTTGAAAACACATTTTTTCAAAAAATAATAATTATTTTATAAATATATAAGATTAAAATAATGTATATATAAAAAGTAAAAACTGAACAAAAATTAGCATATGTATGTATTTAAGTGAATCCAACCTTCGTACACATACATATATATATAGTATTATAATTATATGTGAGAATTAAATTTAAAACAATAGTAAATTCTTAAATAAAAATTTGTACATTTAATGACAATTCCTTAAACATTACAATGTATGGGAGAAAACAGAACAAACTTCATACTAATAAGAAAATTATTATATGCTAAAATATAATGATAAATATTATTAAAGTAATTAACTAGTTTAGACATAAGACTTAGTATTTTTTATTTATAAATAAACAAAAACTTAAAAATGTTTTATAAAAAAAGAAAAGAAAAATTGTGGTGAAAACCGCAAATATATGAGATTTGTTTTTAAAACTTAACCAATTGTTTTTCATTTGAATGGACTTACCCACAATGTGTTTAGCTAATTAAATGAAACCCTTATTCAGAGGATTTTCGACAGGCTGTCAATGACTGAAATAATTCGTCGACATACAGAGTCCGCCATCTAACATTTTTTTTTGAACTAGTGGTTATTTTGAGAGTGACAACACTGATGTTACATCTGATTTGACAGAAAGTTAGTTTTATCCTTCCGCTGAACGAAAATGGTTGTGTATACGATTGAGGAACGCGTTAAAATAGTGCAGTTTTACTTTGAAAATGTGTGCGAAAATTACGCACGGAAATGAGCCGCAACAAAGCACCGTCCGTTCCGTATGTGCGCTTTCTTTTGAAAAAATTGAGAGAAACCGGCACAATTATTGTGTGGCCGAGAGTGTGCGTGAGGCGCCCAGAGCATCAGTGTAGCGTCGCTCTCAACAATTGGACATTTCCGAGACGTCCCTTAGGCGAATTTTGAAAAAAGACCTTGGTATGACACCGTACAAAGTTCAATTGGTTCAAGAATTGAAGCCACGAGACCATCCGATGTGGTTTGCCTTTGCCGAATGGGCATTTGTTTGTCCGTGGCGGACCCTGTACATAGGCATGCACTAATTTTTCTGCACACATTTCGTAGTTAGAACTGCAGTTATAGGTGATATATGTGTTCACATAAAAAGCTACCAAATAAACAACCATTAAAATATTATTAACTTTTTAAAGACCTTTTCTGCAGTTACTTTTATTTTAAGTCAGTCATTTCACAAATATATTATATGCAAAAAAGTAATTAAATTTTTCGGTCGCTCGTACTATCTAGTTGTTGCCGCAACAATGCTCGCATCTGGTCTGTGACAACAAATCCTTGCCCGTGCCCCGGTATTATATAATTACATAATTCTGCCATACGTAAACGTTGTCGCCTCTGCGAATTGGTATCTTCACTGCCTGCTTCAGTCCAAATTGAGGGATCGATTATATCTTCGACACGTTCAAACAGATCACCACAAATTCCTGCAACACCTCCTTGAATACTATCACGCACCAGCACTGACACACAACTAAGAGTATGTCCTGGCGTCCGCACCACCGTCACATCATCACCACATAATTGGAATGGTTCAGAGTCTTCACGTGTTAATGGACAATCTAAATATTTATCACGGTGGGACACACAGGCACCCACAATGTGCCATTGTGCTTCACGAAAGAGATAATTGCAACCTATATGATCGGAATGGCCATGCGTACAGACGACCACATTTATATCTTGTGGTTGAAGACCATGTTCGCTCTGCAACACTTGCGTGAGGCGTTCTCCATCCCATGCAGTGAGAGTGTCAACAATTATATTTCGCCCATGGCGTGTCTTTATCAATGTACAAGTGCAGTTCGCGCGCATGACACTGGAATCATTGCTATCTGGGCGTGAGTAACCTGTGAATAAAACATGAACCTCATTTCTTCTTGTGGTCATTTTTTCCAGCAGTAGTACGATTTTTTATCATATATATCTTCAACGGAGGGTACTCTGATTTCTAAATTCAAAACAATTTGAAAATGTTAGTACATCAATGAAAATTGGATATAAAAAACTAAAGGCTTAAACTAAAGATGGTAAAAAATTTTATATGCGATGCTTATCGCTACTACTTGTATTCGGCTTATTGCGAACTAATTCTGAATTATCTGAACTAATAGAAATATTTCTTAAGATGATAACTAAATTCTTGCACACCTTCCTCTAGAATAAATATATGAAATCAAGTTTATAGCTGAACGAGAAGCGATCTGATTAGGAACAAGTCCTGCTCGATGAGTTGGCCGGCAGCAACGATTGTTAGCATATTGCAAAAAGCCAGTAAAACTTGTCACCGAACAGACCTGTAGCAAAGAAAAAACAGCTGACGAACATTATTCATGATCTAGTGTGTTCCCGAATTGACATCAATTAATAAGAAATATTTGTGATGACAAATTCTAATAAAACTGTCAAAAATAGTAACTTCTGCAAAGTAGCGAACTCTATATATAAAATATTCGGTTGTGGATATAATTCTTCACGTTTTTCCCCAAATTTTAAGGGAATAATTGTTTTAAAATAAATGAGTTGAATAAGTACCCAAATTTTTCATTATTTAATTTTGCCATCATCGAGCGCTTTTTGCTTGACAGTTCGTAAAGTTTCTGCCAGAAAGAACGGGAACGAATTTAAAATATTTTGCTCTAGTTGATTGAATACAGAGAATTCTTTATATGCAGTTGTTGTTTGAGATAATAAATTAAGTAAACAAACAATCATGTAAGTAGATTAATTTAAATTTCTTCAATTTTATAGGCGTATATTTCTAAAGCTAAAACTTACAATTCTTGATAATCATACGTAATCTTCCTATATTTGTGAAATTTAGTGTCTGTTTAAAAACGATAAATCGGAGCAAAGGGGTAAGCGTTTAAAAGAATTTTTTAAAAACCATTTTCATATCACGTATTTCCAGATTTCTCATAATGTCGTGCCATAAGCGAAGCGAGGAAACTTTGAATGATACTGCCACGAACAATAAACGTCGTCGGCGCTCTCTTACAATAGAAGAAAAAATAAAATTATTAGATCGACTAAATGTCGGAGAACGTCCAGTGGACCTGAGTCGTGAATTCGAAATTAGCGATAGTACTATACGTTCCTTACGGAAATACGAGAAAGAGTGTACAATGGATCGTTCTGCAACATACTTTCCACGGGATGATACCCAAGAAAAAATGGAGCATTTATTGCTTGCATGGTATGAAAAACAATGTCAAGAATCAAAGGGGCACTCCATGGGCAGTATATGTACCAAAGCAAGAGAAATTTATGGCGAGTTAAGGTATACAGATGGAAATGCAGCAGCAAAAAAATCCACTACAGGCGAATTCAAAGCAAGCTTAAGTTGGTTAGCAAATTTTCGAAAGCGGCACGATTTGAAATTTCGAGCTATACACAAAAATAAGCCCGTAGACCCTATATCTGCCAATGTGTACATAGACACATTTGCAAAGCTCTTGCGAACGGGTGGTTACCAACCTCATCAAGTCTTTAGCGCTTTTGAGTTATCATTCGCATGGAAACGTTTGCCTGGTTGTACATCAATAGCTATGGAAGATAAATTTCGTGATAGATTGGGTAATGACCGAATAAGTTTGCTCCTTTGCAGTAATGCAGAAGGTGATTTTTATGTTAAGCCAATGCTAATTCATCGCACACGTAAACCGCAATGTCTTAGATTTACAAAAATAAGTGAACTGCCTGTCTTTTGGAGATGTAGAGGGCGTGAAACTCAAAGTTTACCGAAAGTGACGCCTTCACATTTCCATGATTGGCTCATACAATGCTTTACACCAACAGTACGAAATTATTTGAAATTGCTGGAAAAACCAGAATGTTGTTTGCTACTACTGAGCAGTGATTTATCCCAAATGGTACTGCCAACTTATGACGAATCATTCTTAAGTGTGGAATCCCTGCCTGAGAAAACAACACAGTTGTTGCATCCATTAATACAAAGTGCGTTACCAGTTTTCAATAGTAAATACCTGCATAGATTTGTTGCACAATTAGTGCAATGTTTGGAGGAGAATAGTGAAGGAGATTTGTACAAAGCATGGCAAAAGTACTCCATAGCCGATGCCATTCATAATATACACAAATCCTTAGAAGACATCAATGCCGAATGTTGGAGAGGTGGGTGGCATCGGCTATGGCCAGAGGTAAATATTTCCGCTTCTTATTAGACTTATTAGTCAATACCAATTATAGAAAAAATTGATTTTGCTTCGTTCCTTAATTTTTTAGATTGCTAACGAACTCTGCCACAATGCGATACTTACTGATGAAATTATGCAAATCATTGTTGAATGCAGACTACTACATGGTAAAGGACTCGATAGTATAGACTTTGAAGAAATAAAGCAATATTTAAAAGTCGGCGAAAACATTTCAAACGATGACCAACTGACCAAAAACGAGTCGCAAGGAGAGTTAGCATTTCAAAATGTTTGCACAAATGTACAAGAGAGCTCATTAGAAATCGTGAAAACCAAAGAAAATGAGAACCTTTTAAATATTTGTTCTAGAATGGATTTCGAATCAGCGGCAAATAATACCGAAAATAGTGATGATGAAATCTCAATTATTCATTTTAGTGATGACGAACCGCAGCAATCTGACGAAGAGGCAGTTATTGAATTTCATCAGACCGAAGATGTAAATATCGAATTTGGTGAAGCTAAAACTAAACTTACTAAAGGAAAAGTTCTCAAAGTAAAGCAAGTTAAAGCTCGCGCTCAGATAAATCTAATAAACAAAGCGTTTGATTTATCTCACGAACTTGTAGAGACCTTGGGACAACTGGAAACAACTGCAGACATATCAGAATTTTCTAACGGTATACAAGATTTAATGCAACCTTATGCTGAATTAAAGAAAAAACTTTTACAGCCAAGTATAAAAGACTTTTTTAAATCCGAGTTGACTTTACCTTAGTATTTTAGGGATTAACAGAAGGAAAGAAATGTCCCAGGCAACTCTCCTAAAATATTAGAGTTAATTACATAATAGATTGACAAATGGAGTTTTAAGCTGTTATTTTTTATAATATTTTACGTTTTTACAACTTGTATATATATGTAAAAAAAAATTTAAGTATGTATGCACAAAAGGTTCAAAACATATACATATACAGTTTTATGGAAAATATATTGTGAGCAAACGGTGCCTTTTAGGTGAAGAAACGAATTTTATGTTTTAATGCAACAGACAGACTACTTGAAAGCCATTGATGAAGACTAAAATAAGGGTCGTAGAAAATAATATAAATGAAAATGTAAAAAATATTGGCATGAATGTGACAATTAAATGCAAATTCTTTTTGAGGTTTTCCTGAATGCACAAGTTGTTTGAACTTGACCTGCCATAGCTGGTAATTTGTCCGTTGGCAGCAACAAAAAAAAAAACAATATTTTTTTTCTCACTTTTATATTTTTTTTTTGTTGCATGTGGGTAAACTGAAAACTGGCAAATATCTATCGCTCATTTTAACAAGTGACTTTGAGGAGAAAGTTAACAATTTAGCGAAACTATTGGCGTGCATTTTTTTTCTATTTAAACATTGTAAGTACTTTTCTTTCTACTCGTACACATGTATGTATGTATGTAGTATTCTGAAGAAAAGTAAGCACTATTTTGTAATAAAAAACTGTAATGAAAATGTCTGTCAAAATATTTGCTTTTTAATTTAAATTCGCTTTAACGGCCAGATTTGAGACCATTCCCTATTAGCTTTTTGGAAGACATACATACATATCGAAAATGTCAAGCGTTTGAATCTATATTTATATTATATATGTATATGTATGCATTGTGCACTTATATATGTATATATGTATGTACATATTTGTAAGTATATATTGTTATTTATACTCGCTTTGAGAAGAAAATAATTGCTACAATTGCGTGCTTTTAAGCCAGATACCAATGAGTCAATGAAAACAAAATCGTTAAGTCAAGTTAGTAAGCGAAACGAGTGTTTACACGCTTCAACGCACTACTTAACGGTCATTCATATCATTCTACTTTGGTATGAACTTTCTATTTATCATAGAATCGATGCAATTAAATGTTCATTATATGCGCATACATATATATATATATATAATATAAGAAAATATGTATTATATTAAGAATAGTGAAGTACTTTATCAAGTAATGCTTAAGTTGTTTTCAACTTTTTGTTATTGTTAATCGTATAAATGTAAGTAATAATATAACTTAAAGTTTTGTAAATTAAATATTTATGTTTTATTTTATTATGTGTAATATCATCTATAGAATATATAGATAAGTCTGTTCATAATTTTCCGAGGTTCCTGATTTGAATCGAAGAAGCGTTAAACATGTTCAATTACAGTTAAAAATTATGTAATATTAGCTGTGTTTGGTGAGAAATGTCAGTAAAATTAGAAAAATTACGTTCTCTCGGTGGAAATTGGACTGATTTTTAACTTCACCGAACGCGGTTAAGTAGGATTCAGTAACAATTGTTAGTGACCAACTGGTCCCCGAACACACTAATTTCCTCTTTTCAAGCAACATATTTCTTTACAGTTAGAGTACAGAGTGAGATGATATAATAACTTTGGTCTGAAGTATATAAGTACCAGAAACAGGAGAGGTAGACCCATTAAAATTTATACCGATCGAGTCAGAATGTTGAACATTAGTTTTCCTGCTCATCTAAGCAAATAGCCACCTATGAATCGAATTTCAATTAAATCGAGCCATAAGTAAGATTTTTTTTTCGAATAGGAATTTTTTATCTTATAAACTTTCCCAGGAACCATAGATTTTTATATACATATATACAATGTAACCGTTACCGCTACTCGGAGATTTTCTATTCTCTGTGTTTATGAATATTTTGGAAAACTTTATATGTGTACAGAGTGCATATTTGAAAAAGAATTATCAAATTTCGATTATTATTTTGCGCGAAAAAAACGCTAAACAAATCACGATTATTTTTCGAGCGATACTTTTTTTTGCCCACAATGATAACTAATAATTATTGTTTGGAGGTTTAAGAGAAACTCGAAAAATATATTTTCAACTAAGCAAAATATTAAAAAAATGAAAGAATAATCATTAACTGCTTACTTTAAAGCTCATAGTGATAACGCCCAATAATTTCAAAATAAAAATTAGTTTTTGAAAATGCCCAGTGGTTCGATACTGACTGCTTATGAGCGTTGTGGATAGATTATTTTTTACTGCTGCAACCTGTCATTCGCAATCCCAGCTTTCTACGTAGCCGTTCAGGCGTCAAAAAGCTCAATTACATACATATATACATATATACGCCCGTATATACTCTTGAAGCGATCAAAACAAACTGTAAACTTGTTGCCGAAGCATAACAAGTAGCAATAAATATTTGTTGTCAACAATAACTAGATACTCTACTAACCAATCTAATAACCTGCTAGTCTATAATAGCCTAACAATCTACGCGTACGAGAGTATACACCCTTGTACAATATAAACTGCGCTTACAACTATTGACTTGTGTGTCAAATGCGAATGTAGTGCAGCGATATGTATGAGTAATGTGCTTTGTACGGTAAGCACCGATAATGTGCAGAACTTTCTCAAAAGTTCATTGTTAAAAAATGGAAGAACCATCATATGAATCGAATATTGTCCTCTATTATGGTTGGCTTCTTCGTTTTTCAGTCGATATCACATTGCGACGGCACACATACTACTGATTCTTATTGACACTTCTCACCGAAGAGAGTTATTATTTCAATTCAAAGCAAATTTGGTTGAAACAGCTGAATGCATACATTATTTCCAGTTAATTTTTCAATCGTCCAAAACCTCACTTTCTGGACAGTTTTTTTTAGCAGTTGCTCTGCATAGCTATGTACAAGCCGCAACAAAGTGGATGACACTATAACCTGCCGAAACCCGAAAATCCGAGCACACCTGTCCGAAATGGGATAAGAAGAGATCACGAGATCTGTACTCCTTAAAGAGAGGAACTCTGACAAGCCACCATCTGATTGGATGACACGCGCAATGACTAGATGCTCCCTATAGGAGATTCTGCAGAAGCTGCAAGGCGGATGAACAGTAGGAAACAATCAAGCATTACTTAGGCGACTGTCCTGCTTTGAGCAGGGCTAGGCTTCGGAATTTTGCGACCCTACTGCTGAATGGTCTTTGGACGATAGCCGACGTCAAAGTCATGGATCTAATAAGGTTCATGAGATAATCAAAATTGCCCTTAGTTAGGCCTAAGTGAATCTGACTCCTTAGATCGGTAACCACCACAACCTGCCCTACACAGCACCTTCTGCATTTAGTATCTGTTAAATTCTAGCACGTTGGGCAAAGCTTCTTCCAGTAAGCACAATCTTATTGCATGTACCGCCTGTTGCTGTGCACTTCTCTTTCTTTGAAAAGTGTTTCATGAACTATTCGCCACGTGCTAATCTACAATAACTTCCCTAGTTGTTCTTGTAAAAGGGTGGGAATGTGGGGAAAAATGAAATTTACGAAACGTTTTCATTTAATATTTTGGTATCCCAATTTAATCCTATAAACTTTTTGTTTGTTCCAAGTATATTTTTGGTTCTAAATTACACCAATAAAGATCGACAAATAATATATCTGTAAATTTACTCACATCAACAACTCTCGCATTCGTTACAACAAGCGGAACTAGGTTCTTTTCAACTTGAGATTTCTGCTTCGTCGACCGTCATCGGCTTTTGCTTCGGAACGAGAACGCTATTGCGTTGGAACGAGTACATACGTTGTATTTTGACGCGCTGCACAATATCGATCTCGTCGAAACAATAGTACAGCTGACGTTTCAGTCACAAATGCTAGTTGTCCCAAATACGAACGGAACTGGAGTTTCTGTCCGTCTGCGACTTAATCCACTGTAAAATTAGCGTTTGTAAAGCGTTGTTGAGTGAGCTTACTGAGTTCATAGTTGCTCCTATTAGCTGATGTGATTATTTGCTTAATCTCCAGGTTGATATCATTGTCGGTATTTATGGCGGTGCCAAGATATGTGGATTCCTTGACAAGCTCGAAAATATAACGATGCACCTGAACGTGAGTTCCTGAACGTGAGTTCCTAGTGACAGCATGTTCTTCGATACGCCTTCGTTATATTTATATGTATTACAGGTCCAGTCAAAAGTTGGTCCATTTTTTTTTTGTTGCATTAACTTGAAGCCTTTATTTACCACAGTTCTGAATACCTTTTTGTCATTTTGAAGGTAATGTCATTATTCCTCCCTCATGGAAACGCTAGCCATCATTGGCACAGAATTGGTACGGTCGATTCTCACAAGCTTCTCCTGGGGCAAATTCTTCTCCTGCCAAAACATTCGCCGTAGGCAGTAACAGTTGGAAATCACTTGGTGAGAGGTCGAATTTTCTGTCGAAATAATATCTACACATAAATGCTGTCTTAAATTAGAGCTGCTCTCTGTGGAAGAAAATTATAAAGCAATACCCACCACGCGAATATCAGCTTAATCAGCTTAAAACAACGTAAGCGGTGCTTATACTCGTAGCATAGAGTTTTCCAATCAGAGGTGTTATTTTGATATTAAATATAAATTTTTTTACTATAAACGACCGGTTGTTTATTTCACTGTAAAGACGAAGATATGCCATGGCTACGTTTACAGGACCGTATCGTTTTTATGAAATTTTTCAACACCCAATCGCAAGGTGGCAATTGTAGAAAGTGGTTATTCACCAATTTCGCCTTTGAGGTCTTGAATCGACGTTGGTCTGTTTCCCATGACCTCAAGGGAAGAAGTCGCAAGATGTTAAATCACAAGATCTCGTTGTCCAATTGCGATAATCTCTTTGAGCGATAACAAAGTACGGAATTTTTGTCGTTAAAAGATCGATGGTTTCGTTGCTTGTGTGGCACGAAGCGTCGTCTTCTTGAAAGTAAAGGAAAGATTGTCCAATACCATAATTTCGGGCCCTAAAAAATCATTCCTCATATCTCGATAGCGTAATCCATTCACCGTAACTGTTGCTCCAGCCTCATTGCCGAAAAAGTAAGT